ATGTCCGGCGCGCAGGCACCGGAAACAGCGGAGGGGGCGGGCTTTGAGGGGCTCCACCTGAGCCCTCGTCCACCCAACCGCTACCCGGCCTGCTGCGGCCAGTTTCTTGGCCGCAGACATAGGGCATTGTGCCCAAACTGTCTGCAGTCCGGAGGGGAGCCCGGAGTTCGCCCAACCGGATCTCCCCCTCCGGACAGCCGCCCTCACGGGCGAGCGCCGCCAGTACCTCCTCGCGGGAGACCGTCCCGTCGATCCCTCGCACCCGGACATTTCCGGGACGCGAGGGGCGGCGGATCTTAACGCCGGTCCCCGCGAGGACACCTTCCATTTTGGCCGCTAAGGCATCAGCCTTAGCGGCCATATCTGGACCGGGGACTTGAATCATCATGTCCCCGGTCATTGTCCGCCGGAAGCCCATCCCCTCTATCCCGAGGGATTCGAGGGGAATGGCTAGGCGGCACCTTTTAAGGGCCTCGCCTAACTCTATTTTGGCGGACGGGTCCCGAGCCACCACGACCGCGGCCGTCCTGGGGGCCCGCAGTCGCACCCGCCGCCTCTTCTTCTTATTCCTGGGCTGCCCCTTTAACGGAGGAGCCCCGGAGCCAGACCGGGCCGCCGGGGACGGAGCCCCGGACGGTCCTTTGGTCGCCCTCTTGGCCTTTCGGCCAACAACCTTGGACCACGTGTCCGCCGCCTTGGANGTGGACGGACCCGGGTCCAAGGCCTCCTGCTGCGCCTGGGGGGCCGGAGCGGTCGAGGGGGGAGCCGCGGGCTTACCCGCCTTTCCCTTGCCTCGCTGCCCGGATTCCGAGCGCACGCGAATTTCCCCCTTCTTGGGGAAACGTGATGCGCTCCTATTTGTCCACCCCACTGGCAGAGCAGGGGGGGGCATGATCGCCTCTAGTTTTGCGTCGATGAGGGCACCCATCTTCCTCAGAAGATCTTCGGATGCCCCCATCGGCGCCGCCGCAGGGGGGGGAGGAGGCGGCATTTGGGCCTTCGCCTTTAAGGCCGCCACCTCCTCCCTGAGGAGTTTGACTTCGAGTCGGAGATCTTCGTTCTCCCGATATATTTGCGGGAGAACCGGTGCCGTTCTCGCCGCGTGGTTATCGCGGAGGCGGGTGTAGAGCGTGTCCAAGACCCTGCGCCCGTCCCGCCCCGCCATTCAAAGGGCCTTAACATCTGTGCCCTTTAGCCGCTTTGCACGGGTCGCCACTTCGTCGCACACACCGACGGCCTTGTACAAGAGGTCGATGAGGTCCACCGACACTCTTGTTTCGCACTCACGGTCGACGTCGGACCCG